ATCGCCAGCCCCGGGATTTAGGCCTCTACCTCCACCCGACGCGCTGGGAGGTGGCAGAAGTCCATTCAAAGACGCAAGAGAGAAGAGCACATACACACAATTCGACGCGCCCGCTTACAGCCTCGAACGCATCTTCACCGACAAAGAGCTAGCCATGGCGAGCGCGACAGCCCAGCAAGCAACGCACCGCTACTTCCACCAATCGCAGCAAGAACGCCAAGCCCAAGCCCGCGCCCAACAGCAGCAAGAACAACTCAGCACAGCCGTCCCATCAGTAGACGGCGAGCTCCTCCCCGACGCTCCACCCCCCCCAGGCCCAGACCCCGACCCCGAAACCGCGCACCCCACCACCGAAACCGTCACCAACGGCTCCCCACCCCCAGCAGCGCCCGAAATGGACCGCCAGCCCTCCCACCAAGTCCTCACCCGCGGGCACGCGCGCGCGAACCCCCTCGCCGCGCTCTCGGACCTCGCGGCCGCGGCTTCCATGGCTTCGTCCGGGGGCGCGCCGAGCACCACGCGAGAGAACCCTTTCGCGCCTGTTATACCGGCTTACCATGCCATCTCGCGCGCGGAGAAGAGCGGTGCGCCTGCGCCGCCGGGCGTGGGGACGGGAGATGTGGAGGGGGATTTGGCGTTGATGAGGCGGATTGGTGGGGTCGGCGGTGCGGTAGATCACGTCAACAACGGGGTGGAGAATGGCGAGGACGAGGCTTCTGGAGGTGGTGTGCCGGGAGTGGGAGAGGACCAAGCGGCGACCACGGCGAAAGAATTCCGCACTCGGCTGTTGGACCAAGCGCTCGGGAAATCCACGACGGTGCCTCCGTACCGCGTACCCGTTCTCGAGGCCGGACCGGCTATGGTTGGCGGAGGGAGAGTGGAGAGGCCTAGCTGGACGGGTTTCGCGCAGGTGGCTGGTGGGAACGCGGGGCCGGCTTCGGCTTCGTATGAGCAGCAGGTGCGGTCGCGGCAGGAGGGGGTGCAGACCGGTTTTGGGGGTGTCGGGGTGGGAGGGTCGGCTTTGGCGGCTGCGCTAGCGGGGAGGTTGGGAGGGGTGGAGGGTGGGGAGGCGATGAGTCGGACTACGAGTGCGGGGGGTGGGAGTGAGGGTGGTGAGGGTGCGGGAGGTGCGGGAGGGTATGGGGGTGCACGGAGGGGAAGAGGGAGGGTTGTGTAGAGAAGGGACCTTCTCGACTGACGGGCTAAGCTCCATCATCGGAGCCACGGGACTAACGTTACTTGGACGAGCTATGGGACTAAAGTTACTTTGAGGGAGCCACGGGACGACCGTTACTCGAGAGGCTCTCGTAACAGCCATACATAGCTCTCAGCATCATCGCTAGATCATCACTTGGTGCTCTACCATCAGAATCCCACAATATCACTCACTCTTCCTCACTCTCCTCCTCCTCAACCTCCACCACCTCCCCCGCACCCGCAGGCACACCCTCCTCCTCCGCCATGGCCGCCGCAAGCTGCGCGTCGAGATCGTCCTCCTCGCCACCATTACCACTAGTAATCGTAGCAGCACTCACAGAAGGCCTATGCGCCGCAGCAGGCGAAGGCAACTCCAAGTCCTCCACATCCGCATCCGCATCCGCATCCGAGTCCGCATCCTCATCGTCGTCATTACCCAAGTCCTCTGGCTCACCGGTCTCCACCCCCGCAGGAGAAGCAAGATACCCCAACCCCAAAGGATCACCCGCCGCATTCCGTAAACTAATCGGTCCCTTCCCTAATTGCCCATTGAGCGCCATAGCCATTGCTCGCCGCCCCGAAGGCAGCCTCGCAGAACTCGTATCCTCGTTCTCTAGTATCAGCTCCCCGGAA